TTTGAAAAGTTCGTTTTTTAACACACTGCGCTTCCTTAAGCATAAATCTCATTGTCAACACAAAGGTAAGATTAATATTTGCCTGATTCATGCACTTCACAAATTATGTCAGTGGACAATCTGAATAAGGAAAGTCAGAAGTCATTGCACAACCACAAGAAACAAGATTGCACTTGAAGGAAAGCCAGGTTCATCATTGCTTTGAAGTGAACCCTTCACAAATATCTCGAGTTGTGTCAATAAACTAGAAAGCAAAAAGCATAGAGCATATACTTAAATTCTGCCCAGCCTATTAGGAACAGACCTCCCCCTCCTCCCCCCCCCCCCCCCCCTTGTTTTTACTTCTTTGTAAAGTTTGCAAACCAAGAAATAAGGAAACATACGAATCTGTGTGTGTTTTCCTGACAAGTTGGTCCAGTTTGTCTTTCACCCACTTCTGAAACATTCACGTGCTTTTGATAAAACAGCATATGGCTCCATACATAATAGGTGTATATAATAATAAAGGTTTTTGTAGATCTGAGTCCACCATGTTTAGCTACATTTCTTAGCCCCATTCAAAGCTAGTTTACATTTTAGAAACTTTTTTTCTCTTATCAGACTCTCTCCAAAGAGACCTTTGCTAAAGAAAATGCTTACCTGGCTTGTGCAATATGGAAAAATACTTGCTCATGGATTGCACCTTGTCAGATAAAAATGTAATGAAATACACACTTTTTTAAAGTACACATTCTCCATCTTGTATGTACAGCAATAATATTCAGTCACCTCCTTGCACGTATGGATATTTATTGCTATGAGTAAACAATAATACTGTTAATGTGTTTGAAAATAATCTTCAGTATTTGTATTGCTTTCAATTAAAAGTTTAACACAGAAAGCTTTATTACAAAGCTAAATCAGTATTCATTTTGCAAATCCACAGCTGCCTGACTTAATTTGCTAAAAAAAGATACTTTTAATGACAAATATAAGCAAAAATATCTAATCAGTCACTACAAGAATAGAGACTTTGTAGCAAGAATAAAAAAATAGCAAAACCAAACCAACATATTCACTTTAATTGTACTCCTTGATTTTTCTAAAGCTAGAGAAGGCATTTCTCCAGAAATGTTGTGAGTATTATTATCATTCTGATTTCATTAATTGATGAGACTCAAGCTGGTTTTATAGTGGCTTTACTTAATAGCTTTCCCAGCCAGTGTTACTCACAAACGCACCCAACTTCTTAGAAGATACAATTATGCTATGACTTGTATGTTAATTTTCTTAAATTAAAACCATACCTTATTAAGGAGTAACTGACATTGTTTGCATCATTAAAAAGAAACCTGATGCACAACTCTTTCATACTACGTGTCTCTCCATACATACCTCATTAGTGCATTGCTGCACATGAAGTCAATCTGGTGTATTTTTCTGTTCTTATAAGTAATTCTCATAATAAAAACATGTTTTCAGGAACGTACAAATTAGGCTTTGGTTAAAAAACACCATTAATATTTTTCAGTTAAATACCACAAAATATTTTTCCAGCGTCTAGCTTGTTATTCACACTTCCAGGCTTTATTCAACAAGCCTGAGTAGAAGAGGTGTTCCATCACCCTCCCACAGATGTTTTGCAGTATATGACATTCAAATACACGATATTTCCCCGCTAGGAAATAATGAATCAATTATGCATTCACATATGATAATACAGAGTAGGTTTTAGAAAAGATCTGTGATTATAAAAGCAAATGTGTGAAACATTTTTCCTGCCATTCCAAAATAGAAACTGCAATTGCATATTCACATCTGGAATGTGAGTACATTATACTGAGAGAAAAATAAGAGTTCAGACATTGACTTTTAGTCAGTTAAACTACAGATGTTTATAGTATGCTATTACTGTAGAATGTGGTACAGCCATTGACAGTGGCAATGTTTTTAATAATTGGAAAAAATTATGTCATGTAAGTGGAGTGTGAATTGCATTATGTTATGAAAAATAACCTAAGTTCTCTCCATCATACTTATTCGAGCCAGTATAGATATCTTTATCATAGATAACTTTATCATGCAATTTGATGGGATTTAAAATCTTGGGAGAGGTCAGGCCTAGCAAGTAAAGTCTATGCAGAATGAAAGAGAGGAAGAGAGTGAGAGGGGTAATGATTTACCAAAATATAAAGTTGGAAGTGTTAATCCCATATTGATGTCTCCAAAGTTTTTATCCTTTTAATAGAAACAGTGCAATGTAAATAAGGTGGTAAGGGAACAGACTTCTCTCCAGGTTACAACCATGTAATTTCAAAAGGGCATTTAAATAATTTAATGAAATTAAGCACAGTGGACTATAGGTGTAAAATCTGCTAACAGATCACTGAGATAAAGTGGAAATGCTCTCTTTATGAATGGGATACCTGCCAGATATTAGCATTTCTCTAGAAATCACAAAACACCACACCAAGCATTTTTTCAATGTTTCAGTCATACTTCAAAAGCGACACAGAAAAAAAATAATTTCATTTTTTCCTGAACATTAGATTTTGCCTTTTTTTTTTTTTATATGATGCAGATATGAGCTATTTGGCAAATGTAGGTGAAAAAGCACGCAAAACAAACAACCTATTAATGCTCAGAATTATATATGTATTCCCTAAAAATGTAAAGCATTTTTGCTTATTTATTATGTAAAACAGAACTGTTAAAATGATAATAAAGTCCTGTAGCCAAAGGAAAAATGAGTTTGATTTTTTTTTACTACAAAACACAAGGTTTCACAAAGAATAACACTGTATATTTGAAAATTTATTTCAATTATGACACTATATTTGACAGTGCATCATAAAATACAAGGAATTATGTATTCTGTTTAAGCCACATCGCATTTTAAAGGGAGAGTCTTGGAGAATGGAAAATAACACAGAATCACTAATGAAACACCCTAATGCAAGATATTCAAATACAGCATCAGTTTATAATTTCTCCCTGCAGTTCTTTTTTCTCAGTTGTTTGCTACATGATGATACTCTGCTGCATGCCACCATTTTTTGACCTCTGTTCTTACTTCAGTCCAGATTTAATTTCTTTGGTGTCTGATCATTGCTGTGCATCACTACCATAACTTATGCATGCAAATGCTTTTATCAAGCCAGCTTCCCCCAGGAATGAATCAACTGTTAGCAGCGCAAATCTTTTTCACGACACCTACTAAGCTGTACTTCAGAAAAATTTGATGTAGCTATTGCATATTACAAAGTAGTTGCAGAGAGTAATTTTTTAGACTGCTGAGGTCTTGTAGCTGGATCTGAAAAAGCAAAAAATAATTTAAACCCCCCAACAGTTGCACAATTAAACAGCAGCATAAAGAATTAAATACTTTAATATTATTTCTAGATAATAGCCCTTGAAGTATATTATATTTGCTGGATAGATTTTAACAACTCTCTGAAGTCTTTTAAAACATTTTAATAGAAGTGAGATGTACTGCTTGAACTCTTAAATGTTAAGTACATTATTACTTTTTCAAATCTTTGGAAACAGCATTGGTTCTGTCTGGACACAACCTGCTTACTCTTTCTGAACACAGACATGCCGATACACTCTGCTTGCTCTGCAAAAGTTTTCTTATCAATAAACAATCTCTATAGATATTTTCACAATGTGTAATTCAAGAAACGTTGTAACAGTCTAAGAGAAAAAAATGAAGTCACAGAAATATGGACACCATAATAAATGTTTTTGAAAGCACTTCATCGAGAAAATAGTTTAAGATATGACATCAGCCTCACAATGAAATAAGTGATTTACTAATCTAGACATTTAATAAAATTAAACATTTTCAGTGCATTACTTCTGGATCTGGAGATGTCTGATTCTCTCCATACCTATGTTCAGAGACCATACTACACCACATTTGTCTGTCTTATGTAAAGAACAATAATAAAAATGATTTCCATGCAAAAATGTTGTGGTTTTCTGGGTGTGCCAAGTTTGCCGTAAAAAGAACAAGATTACTGGCTGTGCTCCCCAAATACCTTAAGATAAGTGCAGTATAGGAAGGTTGACTGGCTTTCTTGACAATAACAGCTGCTAGCCAGAATGACCTGATTCCGCTGTTCTGTATGTAACATGAATTTTCTTTGTGAAGTTCTTTGGTTCTTCTGAAGGAAAGGTCAAGTCTGTAACAAATGCTTTATCCAACTCAAGGCTGTTTCCACAAGACAGAAGGTAGTTTTACACACACAGGAAGAGGCCACTAAAAAGTTGAGGCAAAGTGGTATTCCCACACCATCTACCTATGCTCTAACAAATCCACTAGTTCTAACAAATCCATTAGTTCTTATTTATAGAAAGAAAGTTCAATGCTAAGTTTCAATGCAAACCTTTTCTGAATAATCTTATAATTCAAAGCAAGAATAAAACACGCTTTTCATTAAAAAAGACTTTGAAGAAATCCAAAATGGAATGATAGCAACCATGAAATATTGCAGCGTTTCTTTTACCATTAAAAAATACATCTGTCTTCTGCTCACTGTGATAGCTTAGTGAAGTGAAATTTTGCAGGTACTCCATCATGTTCTTCCAACATGAACATGTTTTATCATTTTTCCCCATCATTCTTATATAGTACTTGTCCCTAGCGTGGGGAGAGCATGTTTTAAGGAAGCAATTCAAGTCAAAACCCGATGCCCAGCCTGATCATTAAAAGGAATCTCTACAGGCACTCATCAGTGTATCTGGAATATGAGTGATATCAATGATGTTTCCTGTTGGCACAGTCTACTGTACCAAAACAGAGATAGTGTTTTAGCTACAAATTTCATATTGAGATACAGATCTAAAGTTTTGTAAAACTCTGTGGTTGAAAAAAACAGTACCAGAAATTTTGCTTTCCACAACTGACCAGCAGCAGCATGCAATGCTTATGAGCTACTTGAAGGAAAAGGTAAAAAAGAAGTGAAGATGCACAAAGATGTATACATATACACATGCACACACACAAACACACTACATATATGTATATATAAATGGGCTCTTTTTTATTTAAACTTTATTAACTCAGACTCAAATTTAATTCAATTATAATATACATCAATATTTGATTCTGAAATAAAGGTAGCTGCCAAAAATTAACAGCCCAAAGCAGTTTTGAAGCATCTGGTGGGAAAATGTAAAAATCGGTGTTCGTGTGTATCATTTTAACTAAGCCAATTAACAGCTGTCTACACTCCACTGTACAGTTCTATGAAATATTGGTGTGCAGTCTCATATGATGCAGATCACAAGGGAAAACAAAACAGCAGGGGACAGACAACCAGGCACACACACTAGTATACTGTGATATGGAGCAAAAAGTCCTGAATGTAAGAGGGACAACTTAATTTTTAGCACTTGCTGCCAAACCACCTAAAACCTAATATGTGAGGATTACTCTAAATTACCATTACAGACTAGCTTCCTTGCTTTAAGACTTCTTGGCTTTGTAACTGAAACAATCTACTAACATGTTCAGATTGTTTATGAGGTGAACTTTAACCTAAAAAAAAACATTTCTGGCTAGTAGACAGAAGTGCTTTGTGGAAACCAATTTGGCTGATCCACCTTTAGTAGGGACAAGGTAACATAATAAGCAGTGCTGCCTACTTGAGGAAATGAAGCTGGCCACATCACACCTATGATAAACTTTTCGTTTGTAGAGAACCATTTGAAGTGCTCTGGTGGCCAGCCTCCTGGTGCAAATTCATCTTGCACAGGAGAAAAACCCAACAATCTGCCTATCCAACAGAAGCTCCCACACGTCTACCTTACAATGTTTTCCAAACATGACCACACTAATGCTCTGCAGCCAGCCCCAAAAGCAAGTAATTTCCAGGTCAGCAGATGTTAAACCTCTTGTTCTCAGTGGTTAGCAGCAAAAACAGATGCCCTACTTTGGGAAAGGAGAGGTGAAACCAGAAACCATGGAAGAGAGTTTGGACACAGATAACTGAGTGTTTTCTTGTTTTCACTGTAGTAATTGTTTATGGCAGGGATCTTAAAGAGTGGGGCATTTTCTCTTACTTATTCTCTTAACTTCTTTACTACAACATTAGAATTAGAATTAAACTCTAAACTGTTTAGACTTCCATCCTCTGGAATGGAATCCTACAATAACCCAGATAAGAGCTTTTCAACTAGGTGTTACACCTGTCATGACCTCCAGTGGTCTATTCTTATAGGGCTAAAACCTCTCAGAAGACTGTAATTTAAAGGAGATATGAGATGATTTGCTTAGATCCAACTGAGTAGGAAAAGCAAAAATACATTGGTATAAACAACCACAGTTCTTACGAGCTGATGGAAAACTCTCCAAAAACTCAAGGCAGCCATGACAGAGTTGCAGACCTGAGACCAAAGCACAGTATGTAAACTGTTGTATAGGTCCATATGGAGAAGAACCAAGTCAGCAAGGTTCTACTTAGACCTGAAGCTAAGCACAGTGGCAAGCCCACTAATTCAGAAATATATGATGAGCTCTTCTAGATGATTCCACTGCAGACAACAAAAAACCCTGAATCTAGTTAGTAAAAATATGGTAAATATGTAAATCTTGTACAGTATTGCACTAAGCACAATCAAAACACCCCTTCTTAAAACAAAAGATTTAACCAAATACAGTGTGTAATCAAAGAAGTTCTGTTCATTATAAAGTATTCCTTTGAAATCAGGGTCCTTTTAAAGAAAAGGTACTTACAAAGAATGGCAACTTAGATGCGTTTTTAAGTTAATACATAAGAATAGAGGACTTTAGCAAAAAGATACTTCTTCTTAAACTGTTGAAGTTATCCATCTCAGAGAACAAAGACATCAGAAATTGGAAGAAAAACAAAAAAACAGCCACGCCATCAACCACCCTCCCACCTTTAAGCAAGCTTAGGGGCTTGGTGTTGAACAGTAAAGAGCCTTATTTGCATTGTGAGCTCTGAGGACTGTTAATGCTTTGGGATTATGAGGTTTCTCAGCATGTCAAAAGAGTTGCCGTCTGGATGCACAGACTCTACACCTTTGCCTTCTTCATGAACTTGAAGGAATCCATAATCATCTATCCCAACTATCCATGCGATTGGGCCCTCCTCATTGTAGAGATGGACTTGCTTACCACTGTCGTTAAAGAAAAACAGACAGTTATGAATTAATTGATTGCAGAAACAATAAAAAAATAACAGAGGACTACTACCTGGTAGAATATTCTCACTTTATGGGTTCTTAACAGAGAATGTTTTTCAGCAATATTTTCTATTTCCTGCTTTACTTTCTTTCAGTGGAATTAACAGTTAAAACCCCCATCACCTCTTTTTTTTTTTTTTTTTCCTTCCTTTTGGTAAAAGATGATTACAGCAGCTTTGTAAAATACTTAGAAACACTCTTTAACCTGTGCTAGTTCATTGATTTTACTATGTGTTATTTTCATTCTCACCAAAGAATTACGTCCTATTTAGGAACATATATTTCAGTTAAGTCACCAGTTTTAAAGGCAACCTGGTAGAACACTGAAAATGGAAGATAAAACATCCATGAGTTATCTCAAACTTTCTTAAAAGAGAAGAACATTATGCTTACCTGTGTATCCAGTACTTGTAGTAACGGGGAAGAACTCCGTTGGGCCCTTTCTCCTGAAAAATATCTATAAGCCTCTCTAGCACAGTTACAGTTCTTGCAATAAGGCAGTCTGCAGTTAAAGGCTTCAGTTTTGTCCCCTCTTCCTTATTAAATTTTGTGATGAGGTCATTGATGCATATGGTGGGGTTGCTGTTGTTCACATTAAATCCAAAGCCTGAAGAAGACAAACCAAAAGAACAGGACAGGATTTTTAAATATGACTATTTTGTCTCTAATAAAAAGTTTGTACTTCAACTAGTTGATATATTATTATCTCTGAGGATTTTTTTTCCAGTATTTCTTCAGTCTCTTATACCTCTAAATCTTTCTATTTGCATAATTACAAATTACAGTCCAGATTTGTTTCTTGACCTTAAAGTGCCTCTTCAAAATTGTAGAAGCAAATCCAGTACGGTCCTTTCAACAAAACACCACCCTATCATGGATGTAGGAAGATGTGAAGTGGCAACTTGTATATTGGTTCAACATCAAAGTGAGAAATTCTTTTACTAAGTAGACAGGTAATTAGCTAATTGAGAGCAAATCCCTGATCATACTCTGACATGCAGTTTTATCTCTCAGTTTAAAATTTAATTAAGAGTACTTTCTGTTTGCTACATTTAGCTGATTTCATTTTCTGAAAATTAAGCTTTGTTACTCAGTTGATTAGACTTGTTTGGCTTGCTGTGAAAAGCCCAGAAGATTTAAGTTTGCTGGGTAAGACTCCAGTTTGCTTAATCTATTTTACCACAGCATATCCTTTAGAAGCCTCAAGTCTCTCACTGAGATTTCTCCAGCTAGAATAAGGTTGGCAGAATGCCTTTCTTATTTAAATATGCCTCCTGGGGCCTTTTTTGCAGCCTGCTGAAACAGGCTTCAAGGGATGTAAAGAAATATATTGTATTACCTGTTTATTTTTTCTCCTAATAATTTGGATTTTTCTTTCCTCAGACATTTGGGATAAAACACCGGTCCTGTCAATCAGGTTTAGACATGATGCACCTCCATCTGTAGGAAGGCTCAGATGTGTTGTTTTGTAAATTTGCTATTAATGAGACTGTTCATATATGGAATTAATTGGTATTAACCATGAAGAGAAGAATCTCTTCAGTGAAAAGGAGTTTTTGACTTCTATCTAATCAGAGAATGCGTAGAGGAAAGCCACAGTAATATCAATGCCAGGATATCAATCTCATTGAAATGAGGAAAGATGTGTTATCAGGATGATACAAAGGAAAAAGAACTGGAAAAAATAATATGCCATGCCAGCAGATCACTACTCAGCTGTTTAAACTCAAATATAGTACAAGTGAAGAAAGAATGACAGTGCTCATTATGCTCTCTTATGTACTGTCAGGGTGCAAAATGCAGCCTTTGAGTCCATCTGCAGGCTAAAGGCACTCAGGTGCGTATTTATGGAGATCACTAGTTTCCTAAAACTAAAATGGACATGAGAAACATACTGAGATGATGAGCTCAGATGAGGCAGTAGCATCTGGGAATAAGCATGGTGGCAAAAATGTAGACAGCTAATCTGAAAAATACGAGGTTCTCAGGACTCTTAGGGCATCTTTTCTTGCCTATGTGAGAAGAGTAAATAATAATAATTTAACACTGACCTTGCAGCATGTTGATGTGACTATCATGTCTTCCAATTCTAGGGCTAGTACTGGCTTGAGCATCTGTGCACTGTTCTCCCCTACTCTGGGCAGGTATCCCTTAGCTCCACACAGAGGTAGACAGAGCTTTTGCAGGTCAGGCACACTGGCTGTCCCTTTCGGTCCATTTATATTTGGCTACCTATGTCTGTTCTGAATCTGTCCCTTACATCAAAGAAGTATATTCTGCAGAACTCCTCTTCCAAAAGTCCTGCAACAATTAAGTACTTTTTTTTTTTTTAATTATGTTTTAAATGTGTTCTTTTACTCTTCCTTTTTCATACAAGTATGAACATGAACTATGCCATCTGTGAGGCCTCAAGCACACAGTACAGGTGAGAAGGCAGGTTTGTCTCTTGCCAACCTTTCTTCTAAGGTATTTCTCAGAGCAGTGAAGCTATATATGTGACCTGTGATTCTGATCATTACCCTCATGGGATTTTCCTTATGAGTGCTAAGTAATCTGGTTGATGGGGCACAGAGAGACTCTAAGCATCTCAGTTTAACTTCCATTCTGTAAACGTAGACCATCTCCAAAATGAGGATATAACAATTAAACAGAAAATATAATGGTTGGGCTAGCTTCACAGAAGAAGGTGGTGGAGATACTTTGTCTTTGACGCCTTTCCCTGTTAAAGCACTGGCACCTGCTGAAAAATACACATACAGTCTTTTGGGGACTGGCCTTGCTACCTATCTGGAAGGCTATTAGCTACTAGACTTCCAGATAGACTGTTCATCTTCAAAATGAACAAACAGTCTGTCATTCCCTACCCTGCCCCTCCCAGCCTTCCTAACCACTTCGCAAATTTTATGTTTTCAGAGAACTAAACAAAGAGAGTATTTAATCAAATAATTGCTACACTGCTGCTTCACTGGCAATATGCCAATTTCTGAAAAGATATCAACAGAAGCAACTTACAAATAAATTTAAAAGGACAAAAGGAGAAACAGAAACATTACTGTGAGTACATAGCTCTTTCTCTCCTAATTTAAATGGCATGTTATTTACCTATTTGTCATGTTGAAAAAAAATGAAAACCAAAAAATCATACATTTTTCTGTATATTCTACCGGTTTTGCAATAGATCAAGGACATTTTCCCTCTCTCTTGTAATGCTCTTTCTTTGAACCCCATTGCACCAGCCCAGATGCTTGCATTTATGTTTTCCTTGTCAAGCATATGGAATTCTTAAGAAGAATGAAAACATTTACTTTATGTGCTTTCTTTTGTTTTAATACTGTGCTTTATTTCCTTACGCCCGCTGTCATTATTTCTTCTTGTCCTTGTCATTTGAACTCATAAAGACATTAACAGCAAACTTCTTTAGTTAAAAAAAAAAAAAAAGTGTAGAAAAGCTTAAAAATAGACACTTACCAATAAGTATATGAAATGTTGTTTCAATAAGTGTAGAGGTTACCAGAACTCCACCAAGCTTCATAAGATCACTGTAATAAATATCATTTGGCCATTTTACTCGTAGCTCAATGTCCTAAAGAAGCAAAACCATATACATTTAGAAACAATTTGCTCTCCGAAACTGGTTATAAGAACATGGCTCATTCATCACTCCATATTCTATATTTTCTATACCTCTTTCCCACACTGTATACGATACTGTTAACTCTTCATAATAAGAACCTATTTAAGGGTTTCACAAGTGTTACTGATAAAATCATGGTAACATGGTTACATGGTCTACTAAAGAGGCTGACAGCTGTCAGAGAAAAGTTTAAATTTAGTTAAAAAATAAATAAATGATGGTAGATAATAAAGTCTTAGGGCAACCAAAAGGAGAACTAAAGATAGTAGAGATTTATAGACTCAAAATTGTATGGTTTTGTAGAATTCACTTACTTAATTCATTATGTCCTATTAAAGAACTGAAAGATCTGTTCAAGAGAGATGAAAACTGGTAGCAAGTGTGGGTTACTGCTGATAAAGTGTAAGGGATCAGAGTAAATCCACAATAATATCAACTCTAGATTTGAGGATCTTCGCAGAAACCAGACAAGGAGACAATGACATCTTGAATTTAGCAGACAGGAGAAATTCCAGTTCACAACTATGTAAATACTTCAGCAATATTCTAAATATATTCATGCTTTCGGCAGCTATGCTGAAGAAACCGTGGAGCTGGAAACACAAACTGTGCTGTATGACACCGTTCCAGTGCAATAGAGAAGTTTTTGTTGAAACCATAGAACTGAACTGAACTTTGCACTGGCTACTTAAACACAAAAAGAAAGCAATGTGCTTCTTGTAGTTTGAAAAACTGCATGACTGTATCCCAAGAGGCAGATTATGGGAGGTGCTCCAGGACTACAAGAGCCATATTCCCTCCTATTGTAGATTATAAAATCCCTTTACAGGATGTGTGAAAACTGCACCTGGATCCATGTCTACTTCTCTGACAGATTTAAAGGCCAGAGAGGAGTCCATTATACATACACTGACAGGAAATACTAACTGATTTTGCTATCAAAGCATTCTAAGAGAATACCACCAATTCATATTCATTACAGAAAACAACTTGACTCTTCACACTGTGAAAGGATTTAGAGAAGACTCTTGAGACATGCAAAGTATGCCACAGTTAAACAGTATTATCAGTGTTAAGAGACCTTCTGAAGGTAACCAAAGGAGACATAACTTTCCTTCTGCAAAAGAACAACAATATATTCACTAGATTTTACTTAGGGAATCCGTATGCCTGTAAGACACTGGGCACTTATTTAGCATGGCAACTGAGGTCACAAGCAAGCACGAAAAGCAAACAAGTCAGTGGGGTATTTTCGTGAGACAGACTACACAGTGAAGAGTTGTGTTGTTTGCCACAAAACAGAGTGACAAGGTTCTGCATAACTATCAGTGTGTCAAAGTACTGATGGGTAAGGCACAGTGGGAATGGAGAATGTTCTTATTTTCCTTTACTAGAGTGAGATTTCTGCTGTTCTCAGAACAGGAAAGCAAAATACTCTCTGGGATATAAGCTTGTTTGAATTTGCAGCACTAACATCTGACAGGAAAACTTACAATTGAACTGTCAGAGTTTGTCAAAAGAAAGCGCAGAACAAAGGCCTCAATCGCTGCCTATTTAGAGCTGCAAACTTTCATGACAGAATCCTAAAAACGATGACTGAATGATAAACTGAAACACATGCATTTCATATCTGTCTATGGAAATCCTGAAATGGACTTTGGGCATAACAAACCCCATTAAAGTGTGTTTAAGAAATATTAAGATTCCCCATACTCCCACAGAGGTAAAGAAATTCAGAGGTAAGAATAAAACCACTTCTCTAAATTAGCCCACTGTTTTCAGCTGCTACAGTTTGTATGGCATGGCTGTTAATCTGACATAAAGAAAAGCCTGGCAATACACAAGTCTAAATAAAGGGCAAATTGAAGCTCTGAGTTTCAGACAAATCCTTGAATTTCCTTACTTCAGTGTACCTGAGTCGAGACCTGTAACACTGTTTTAACCCATCGTCTAGGACTTGACTTTCTGGCGGGTGGGATGGGACACCACAACAGAATTCAATCCTCTCAAATATCCCCAGGATGTGTATTGGAAGACTTTTTAGTATGCATTTCACTACTTGAAAAGAGATTCAGCAGCTTTGCCTGGGTGATACCAAGCTACTGGGAGGACAGGAAATGTCCAAATAAGTTTGGTATCCCGGTATCTGCAATAGTGGTACATATCATCTTTATAGTAATATTTAGTACATCAGTCACATTCTTCCTCTTGAATGCAATAAAATAGAAAATGCCACAATATATAGGGGTAGGCATACGGAAGCAAAACCACCTCCATTCATAAATTAACTCCTTCCCTAGTCAGACTCATATTTTATAAAACTAACCCTTGTCCCTTCTATTCTAAATGGTTAAATTATTCACTCTAGCCAAATATTTTATATTGCAAATTTTAGCCTGAAGCATTTTGTTTTTATAGTCAAGTTATGAAGCACTGAAGTTAGAAGGTTTTAATAGAAAGGCTGACAGACCCTAAACTTCAGCAAAGCTACTGGGTGCCACTATAATAAAGTTCATGTGTAAATGTGTATAAGTCATTGATTTTCTGTAATATAGGAAACATATGCTTTAGTTAACTACTTCTGTAAAATACCAAAGTTTTATAGTTAGCAAATATTAGGAAATGGTAACATTAAAAAGGAGATATATGAGGTGATGAAGAAGACTGGTTCTTCATTTTAATACTGATGACAGGACACTTGATTCCCTCTTGAGAGCAATACTCCTAAGTTTTTGCCTTAGAAATCAGTTTTCAACTTTAAACAAGGGTTGGAAAAATCCTTTAAAAGGGATAAAATGACCACTGAAACAGAACTGACAAAAAAAGCAGAAAAGGATTTGTCAGTTTTATTCATTTTTCCTTCCTCCCTCTTCCCCAACTCCTTCAGAACCAAAGCAAATCAACTCAATTGTTAGACAAACAAAAAAGACATTTTCTTTATTGCTGAAGACCGAGTCTTAAGTTTCATCAGATTATGAGTGAAATGAGGGTAGTATACTTAATCAGCTCAATAAAAGGCAGTATTCATCATATGCATACTAGATTTCTTCAAACATATAAATTAAGTATCTATGAAGGCTAAACTTACTACTGTTGTTTACCACTGTACTAGTGTTGTGTCATTCAATGCAAAGAAGACATAGTAAAAACTCAGAATTTAAGGAAAATGGAAACAGAAACAGGAATTTTAATAAAATTAAAGTGAGATACCTCATATCCTGGAATTGATCTAACTGATTCTACCATTGCCAAGGACACTAGGTGTTGAATAAAAGGAATTCTCTGGCCCAGGTTGGAATGTAGAGGAACTGTGATATGCAAAGTGGATAGTGCACAACCCATGGGACTGAGCCAAACATTTCCACCACGACCTGGGGGGGGGAAAGAAAAAAATTGCTTTCAACACAGGAAAAAATATTTATTAAAAACATCACTTTGTTCATGCAGACAACTACAGAAGAGAAAGATTCAATAGTACCAACCTGAGAACATACAAAAAGTCCTATAAAGGAGTTTCCAAACTTATTTTGAAATTGAGAATTTAAAGTGCAAAGCTTTACCTTTTTTAAAACAAACAAACAAACAAGCAACAACAACAACAAAAAGCAGGTTGTTTAGAGTGCATTCTGGTACTGGTTTCCTATAATGTCCTAAATTACTTGCTTCCAAGCTTTGCCTGGTATTTGGTAACATACACATTTCAAATAATCTTGCTTTGCTTAAGTTAAGAAATATTTGCGAAGATCCTCTGTGTGTATCTACAAATTCATCCACATTGTGGAATCAATTTGACACATGCTAGATCTGACTCAGAAACCAGCTAACTGACTTTATGTAGATGTGTTCAGAAAGGCTTATTATACTGGGCACTGTGCTGTTCTAATAAACTGAAAGTGGCTTTTATATCAGTGGTAGCACTTTTCTAGACAAGAGGCATAACCTGCTTGTATTTACTTGCAAAAGATTGTGAAAGTCCATATAACGTTTCAAGACAGTCTTGTAGCCTACACAAAACCTCTCTGACAAAAGTCTTCCAGTCTGACAACCCAGTCTTGCTCTAGTTAAATCAAACCGGAGTTCTGATTTGGAAGTCTGAATTGTATTACACTAAATGTAGTGATGGCAGTTTCCATGACTGGAGACTTTCTGGCAGAAAGTAGAAGACCACTAAATCATTTCTGCAAAAGCCACCAAACATCCTGAAAATGTTTACTTTGGTCTCTGTTAACTTAGGTTTTGAGTTTAAATCCACAGTTAAGCAGGAGGAGAAGAGAACACTATTATTCTGTAGTTTATTATCAAAAATACTCATAATGTATCTTTAACGAAGCTATGTAACATTAAAATGTCCTATTTTGTATGTTTAATATGCATTTATTAGCGCAAGAAGGAAACTTACTAACCTTTCCCTTGTGTTTGTCGAACAGCAATTGCTATTAAACCCATCTCCTCAGGCAACTTGAACATTAACCTGCCAATTAAGGAAAAAAAAATGCTTATCAGCTGGAACACTAAGCTACATTCATGAAAATCTAGGTTTAAATATCAGGTAATATTTTACTTTAACATTGCACTACCATTTATCCGTTTTCAGTTAATATTTATTCTTGACCAAAAAGCATTAGAATATTAAAAAAGATTAATTGAAAAATTATCATGTAAAACATTACCGTATCTGTTACACTGGAAAAAGTTATAGCCATAGTTCATTTAAGGTGCCTTCTGATAACATACGTTTTGTATTTCTTCACATTTTCTTGAAGTGCTTATTTTTTTGCGTGTCGCTATCTTCAGTAAGTGACAACTAGCAATTCTAGACATTTGTTTCTACTTAAAGCAAATTTTTGTTCATACTACAGAATATAACAGCAGCAGTTTCTGATTATTTAGAAAACCAATATGGTGGCAATAAAGCAGTTTAAAAGATACACTATCCCCTGAGAACTAATTATGATTTAACTACAGTAAATAAATCTACACCTTCTGAGAGCTCTAGAGAACACTGGCTTATTTTAGGCTTGTGTTCTGCTTTTAAAATAGTTTCACTTAAAAGAATACTAACTTTCCTCTGGGGATAAGTAGAAAGTGCACTTTAACACCACCAAATGAGTCAATGCAAGACTTTAAAAAAGAAGAAAAAAACCCTACTGTGAGAACTTAGTTCAAGCCGCTTTAAAACAGATCTGAACTGTGCTGGGATCCTTCTTCATTTCACATTTTTGGGGAAGAGTTATTTAACAGATAAAATAGATATTCAAGATGGTGCCAGCAAGGCAAACCCAGAGAGTGATTTATAGCCTAAAAACCTCCTTCCAATATGGGCACAAATATCATGTTGTTCATTCATATAAAAGTGGTCTTGTCTCGGAGATAAGTGCAGTCCAATCCTTCAGAGTTATTTCCTCTGAATTTCAGATACACATGAGAGGCCTTTCAAGTTCAGAAATCAAGCAAGTATCCCTGAGCAGAAGGGACCAGCTCCAAGCAGAAATGTGCCCTTACTGCTCACTAGGCACAAACATTTTGGCAGACATCAGGTTAAGGAACCATCTGTCTCTCCTGCTTCAGTTTGCAAAGTAGGGCTTTAGTAACTGCTGGGGCGGCATCAGTAGCAAAAAGTTTCAGAATAGCTTTCAGATGGCTGACTTGCTTTCACGATCATCAAAATGGTAGGTTATTTGAGGGCCCTAGCAAAGTCTGGATCATAAATGCCTTCACTCATCTGAAATACTTGAACCAAAACTGACAGAAGCCATAACAGGCCCAACGATGTTTTTCCACAGTACCACAGCATCAGTGAGACATCATCACTCAGCAATAGCCAGATCTTTTTACCAGTCCCCTTCTGTTTCACATGTAATATGGCTCGATAATTCCTTCCTTTGGACACTATTGATTAGGCATCAAGACCAGGATCACCCATCTACCTTCAGCATTAAAAATACACCTCCACTTATGCTGGGACCTAACAGTAAATCTTAGGCAGCTCTTTATGCCCCCCATGTGGCTTCAGCACTGTCATCTGGGAACAGCATGATTTCAGTTACAACAGCAAGTTCATGGTTTTGCAACAAGAAAATCTAATTTAAATTTGGAAGTACTGTTAGGAAGAGATTACAGGCTTTGTCAAAATACACTGATTTCTGTTTCTTCTCCATTCATACTTGTTTATAAATAGGCAAAAAAAAAAAAAGTCATGTGCTGCCATGATGGGAGGAAAATAATCAGAGCAGGAAAAAAAGTAATTATGAATCCAAAACACAGGTTTTAGAACAAAGAGATATGATTAACAGCACACATGAATGTAGCTATTAGAGGCTTGGCAGCAGGTAACAACATATTAAACACAGAGACTGAGTTTGTGCTTTTAAGGGTCAGGAAGAAACTCTTTAAGATGGACACAACATGGGGAAGCTGTTAATAGCCAGACTGATACAGAAAGGGACAGATAGATTTATTTTTACTACTTCCTGAGATTGCTCTGGAATTACCATAAAGACTATGATGGTAAAAGAAAAAAAACAACAACAACAAAAAATATCCCCTCCAACTTCAGAGCTTTGTAAATTGCGTGCGCTCGTTATTTTATTTTTTATTTTTTTTTCTGGGAGACACAACTTGTATTTTCCTTACCAGGAAGAGTAACTGTACGTGCACTTTTTTACATATTGACTTCCCCTCTTTTCTTTCAACTTAATCAGTTGCAGACTTAACCATTTCATTTTTCTTCAGAGTAACTTAGTCACAATGTTCAACATATTTTTCCCCTAAATTTTTGCCTTCATGAAATTCTTTTTTTTCTGGCTTGCTCTACACTTCAGGTCAAAAGAACACACTGAGATACAGAACATGAAACATCTGAAAACAAAGTTATGCATCAGGAAGGATATCAGACAGCATTTACATGACCATAGAAGAACATACTTGAATTTTAGGTAAATTTCTCTTCTCTGCTTTGAACATTTTTGTGTTATTTTCCAAAATGTAAGCGAGGCACTTTTGATACTTAGGAGTATTAAAACAATTGGAAGATTAAGAGATCGTATACACAAAACCCACCACCCTATTACACATCCTATAAATGGTGTCAAGAGTGATAAACAATACACAATTGTTTTATAGAAATTTCAAGTTGAAGAAGGTATCTGTCTTCATGAATAGTCAACATAATGACTTTTCTTCCTACATGAATGTAATATGGGAATTGAAACCACAAAAACTATGTTTTGAATAATGTTAACAGCCTGACAACTATAAATTTCATTGATGTTGTGGGTTTAAGGTTGAAATTCTCATTAATGCATCCTGCTGTGTTACAGTATTGCAGAGGTATTACAAGAGGCAGCATTACATTCCAGATGTTAAAATACCTGGGCACACGAGGGTAAATTATGAAGTCCCCTCACTCCCAAGTTTCTTGCCTGAAAATCTCACTCTCAGATAGCTTGTTTGTAACTACTATTTACACAGCGAATTATAAAACAACATAAAAACAAAACTTTCAATGTTTAGTCAAATGGAAAGGCCCATGTCTCTTGATTAGTTTCTTGCATTACTTTGAACAAAAAGGTGGCCCAAACACTTGCCTTACTTCTTTATATCCACTGCTTCTGTCCATTATGTCTAGTTTGAAAATAAGCAGTGTGGCCACTAGAATCTTTCCGAAACTCTCCACTGCCATCCATTTACAATTCATAGCCTTTAACTGCACGGTGCTGTGTCTGATTCCAAGCTGTGCGTCCTGAATGGCCTCCTAGAGGGCATGCTGGCCAAGCATAGCAGGTCTCCAGTCCTCTCTGTGAGACCTTCCCTAGTGGCAGCACTGATTTGGGTCTCTGTTGCCCACCTGGAAGCCTGTTTTCAAGAGAACTTGAAATCTGGAAGAAGCAGCTCAAACATATGACATTTTTCTATACAGTAGGCAGTAGGCTGATTGAGGGCTGGTAGACCATGATCAGAGGAGAAGCCAGCAAGAATGACATCATGGATACAGCGAGATTGTTACAGACCAGAAGGAAGAAGGGGAAAAAATCTTTTAGAGCAATTTGAGGAACTCTGCATATTACAAATCCTGATTCCTATGGGAGACTCTGATCTCCCTGGCATCCGTTAAAAAGGAAACAAAGTGGGCTGCAAGCAATCCAGGTGACTTCTGGAGGGTACTGGAGACAAGCTCTTAACACAAATGTCAGACGATCAGCTCCTTGATTTGCTACAAACAAGGGAGAGCTAGCTGTGGAAGCGATAAGCTGTGGCAGCTTTGGCTGTTAGCAACCATGGGGCAGTGCTGTTCAAAATCCTGAGGGGAATAAGGAAGGTAAGTAACAGAGTACAAACCCTGGATTTCACAAGAGAAGAATTCAGTTTATTGAGGGAACTGATAGGTGGAATCTTACGAGAGACAGCTCTGAAGGACAAAAAGAGCTCAGCTGACCTGGTCTTTAAAGACAACCTCCTGCAAAAACAACAGCTCATCAGAATACTTTGGAAAATAGGTGCACGAACAAGAAGCCTTGTTTAGCTAAAACAGGAATGCATGACTGCAAGAAGAACATATGCAAGAGATGGAAGAAAGAATAGGCTACAAAGAAGAAATGAAGAAACACTCTCCAGACAAGCAATGATGATGTGAGGAAAGTCAAAGCTCAACCATGGTAGAAACTGGCAAGAAAAGGGTCAAGAACTTCTAATGCTACATTTTAAGAATAAACAAGGAAAATGAGGGCTCACAGCTGACTGGAACAAAAACACAATGGATATAGATAAGGCTGTTATTAAATGCATTCTTTGACTTGGTCTTCACCAACAAGGTCTCCCAGACCCCTATTGTAGTGGGTTTACGTGGCAAGGTTTTGGTAGCAGGGGGCCATAGGGGTGGTTTCTGTGAGAAAGATCTAGAAGCCGCCCCATGTTTGGGAAGGGCCCCGTTGTTTTCCAGATCTGAGCCAATAAGCGATGTTGTTTTGCGCCTCTGTGAGAGCATATTTAAGACAGGGAAAAAAACGCTGCGCCACACAGCAGCTGGGAGAGTCAAGGGAGTGAGAAACAGCCTTGCAGGTGCCAAGGTCAGTGTAGAAGGAGGGGGAGAGGTGCTCCAGGCGCCGGAGCAGAAGTCCCATGTGGCCTGTGGTGAGGACCATGGTGAAGCAGGATGTCCCCCTGCAGCCCATGGAGTACCACGGTGGAGCAGGGTTTCACGCTGCAGCCCGTGGAGGAGACCACGGTGGAGCAGGTGGCCCTGCACCGACGGAGGCTGCCGCCTGTGGAAGACCCCTGCCGGAGCAGATTCCGGGCCGGACCTGTAGCCCGTGGAGAGGAGACCACGCAGGAGCAGGTGATCTGGCAGGAGCTGCTGCCCGTAGGGGAGCCAGGTTGGAGCAGTTTTCTCCTGAGGGATGGACCCCGTGGTACGGACCCATATCTGGAGCAGTTCTGGAAGAGCTGCTGCCTGTGGGAAGCCCACGCCGGATC